TACCCCTGATATGGTTGCAAGCTATGTTTATTTAGTATCAATGTTAGTGGACTATTCTGCCCCAGAAGTCTTCAAGCTTGGTTTGTGTTGCTTCTTTTAGCCTTAGCCCTTAGTTGGTGCAGTTGAAATTTTTGCTTGAGCAGATTTGGGAAAAATCTATAGTTGAAATAATGATTATTTAGTGATAATATTATAAAAATATTGATAATTTAGTTCAAGGTCTGAATGTGTAATTAAAAAAGAAAGTTGGATGTTTTTATTCACCAAACAAACTTATTGTTATTTGTAATTTAATATTTAAGAAAAATTAGCATATAATTTTATGGATATCAAGAGACAAATGATGTATTACAAAGTTTTTTTTTTTTTTTTTTTTTTACTTGCAATCATTTTTAGAGTTCAAGGAAACGAGGGTTGTCATTGTGCTCCACATCATGCTTCAAAATTTTTTAGAAATAACAATGGCCTAAGATGTTATGAGTTTTAAAAGTACAATCCCCTGAAAGGGAAGAATTTAAAGGTACGTTGTTAAAAAAGAATGTTATTAATTATAGTGTTTCTTGGAATCTTTTTAATTTTAAACGTATCATAACCTGAAGAGTGTAAAGAGTTGATATGCATGAGATGTATATACATGATTAATAATCAAGCATAGAAGAGAAGACTGCAAGCCTGCAAGGGGAAAAGCCATGTTTGTTTTTTCAGATGAAAGATCAATAAGTATGGACGTTATAGATATGCTAGAGTTTACGTTTTAGGGATAAATAAGTCAAAAATTATTGTCTTTTTATTTTCTTTCTTTTAGAAATATAAAATGTGGAAGATTACGAGGTCTCTGATTGGTCGTTTAGGAAGTTGAAGATGTATTAACCGAGTAAAGTTTGTCGACAAATGAATTCAATATATACAAATGCACATCAAACGTATTTGAATGGTAATTAGATAAACAATGATGATATAAACTTACTCTACAAATATATACCAAATTCATTACCGATAAAAATATGTTAAACTTCTTATTGAGTATACGAATAAAAGCAATTATACAATTTTAATAAAATAGGATGCTATAAAACAATTTTCATGAAATTCATGCTATAAGAAATGGTTTTCATAAACTCACAATTTTCTTTAATAAAGATGGATGCTATAGTTCAAGTTTATTATATTGTTATAATTATAACTAAGGGGTGTTTGAAAATTTTCAATTGTCAAATTTATGAAATTTGACTTATTATTAGGATATCAATTGCATAAGTTATTCTTATCCAAATACCATATTTAGTTTATATCCTTGTGGAACTGATAAAAATAAATAAATAATTAATTAATTAAATAAACTTAGTCAAATGCCCATTAATATAATATATTAATATAAATAACTAATAGAATCTTAATTACTAAGATGTTGTTTGTTTTTTGTTTGCAGATCTGCGTGACCTCTTCTGTCTGCGCCGCGCAGACCACGCGCAGACATTAACCTTCGCAGACTGTTTGTTTTTTTGAAGACTGCAGACCTAAAAATGTCCGCGCGCCCTCTTCCTGGCGCATATGTGGACCAGAGTTCTCTAACATATTCAGACATCTTCTACCCTAAAAAAAATAGAAATATCTTTCTTTTTTTTTTTTAAGGTTTTTTAAAAAAAATTATATTTTTTCCAACTTTATTAATGATAAACAATTTGGAAAAAAAAATTACAATACTTAAAAAAAACGTTCGACGACAAAAACATGATATTTTTGACAAATTTATAAATAAAGATTTATTACAATAATAGTCATTGAAGTTGTTTATATAAATATGAAAAAAAAATCATAATATATTCTTATATTTTTTTGCCAAAATTTGTAAAACATTATTTAATACAGTATCGCCAATTTCTCGGGAAAATATTTATGGTATGTTTTTAATGGATTTAATTGAAAAAATCGAAGTTTATTTTCATCTATTTATGTATCAATTTCTTTGATCCCTAATTATAATGTTTAGTTATAACTTTGCAACAAAAGTTGTTGGTTTTTATCAATATATACATCAATTTCCGCCGTTCAATATATATATATATATATATATATATATATATAATATATATACACACACACACACACACGTTAATTTATACCAATTTTATTTTTATTTTTTATATAATAATACATAAAAGTTGATCTAGATTTGTTAATTATTTATAACAAAGTCATAAAAATATTAAAAAATCACTTTGAAGTTTAAAAAAAATCAGTTTATTTAGATTTCAGTTTATTTTAGTAGCCAACATATGTTAAAAAAAAACAAACAGTCTTCTTTTTTTAGACTGTAGAGGTTTAGTCCACATTTTCTACTGCAGAGGTCTACAGACGTGGTCCGCAGACTGCATACATTTCGCCTAAAAAACAACACCTAACAAAGCAAATATAAATACTAACGTGGATGAAATTAACGGATGCATGGTTCAAGAAGGGATAATGCATAAAAAAACGTTAATATTTGAAGTATTGTTTA